TTTCCACTCCTTCCCAAAGCTGCACACTCTCAACAGCTCCCATTCCTACCTGATCCCCTCAGTGAGCCACCTCAGCTCTAATATTGTCAGAATTCCAACAGTGGGGCTCACGGGGGTACAAGAAAGTTTTCCACATGCTGTGACCCTGCAGCTGCAAGGGCCACCTCGCTGTGCACAGCACAGGACCAACCCTCAGACTCACCACTGACTGACCAGTCCCACTTCTGAAAAAATGCACTCATGATCCCTCAAAATTTACTTATGGATTGAAATGTGACAAAAGGTTGGATATGGCTTGTTCATATGAAGACTACTGTCTGCTTTTGAAGAATTCACTGGGGTGTGTGCACGCTTCAAAAATCCATTAGGAAGGGGGATATTTTTGTCTCCAGATCACAGCTTCCTCAATTTCTTATACAGCAAAAAACAGGATTAACAATTTGCTTTTGACAGAGAGCAGAAGTCTGCTGTTATACCAAATCAATACACAGCTTGAAATCGTATCAGTTGTATGTATGAAGTTATTGATCTAAAAAAAGTTTGAATGTATTTGCAATTGTAAGTTGAATTTTAAATAAACTAAAGTTTACAATAACCTGATTGCACCTTTAAGAGAACAGAAATATATTTCTCGCATTCCTCAAATCTCAAGGTCAAGTTTATAACAAAAGGAAGTTACCTAACTCCTTCCTTCCAAGAAATGGAGAGCCCATGCACACCCAGGTTTCTTATTTCACTCTGAGGACATAAGCTGACTTTCACTTGCAGTTTCTAATCTCATCCATAATTACTAGTCATGTTACCACCATATATTCTTGGATGAGCATTACAGTTCACAAGTGACTTTTAGTATGTCAATGCATTGGCATTCACAAGCCTTAACGAGCAGCTACTGATATATTTGCTTTAATTCCCACAAATAGCATTATAATAGCTGCTACCAAGTCGAAGAATTCCTCTATACAACTAAAAGTTCACAGCCTTAAAGACAGTGGGTACCTGTTGCAACCTGCTAATTTCTTTCTGGCCTTATTTTTCTTTTTTCCCCACCCTGAAATTTGCAATAAGAAAAGAGTAAATTAAAATGGTCCCTTATTCACACAGAATATATTTGTGTACACCCCCCATAGGTAAACAGATTATGAATTCCTATCAAATTAACCTTCCCATACACCCAGCCAGATGTTATAGCCACCCAGCAGAGGTCAGTGAGGGACTCCATTGAACAAAAGTACTAAAGAGGTTGTAAGCCACAAGTGAATCATTTGCTATTCCCACCCAAACCAACACAAATCTGGCAGCAGCAGAAGCCTGATGGAACAGGAGAAACCTGCCTTGCCAAACAGAGGAGCATACTCTACACTCAACAGGAAAAAAATAAATTGAGCTGCAAGACCAGAATTACAGTCATAAATGGATTTTGGTCTATAGATGTTAACAAAGATTCCATGGTTTGGACACGGGCACTCCATTCACTGTTAGCAAAGAACTGAGGAGCAGAAGCACAGTCTCAGCTACCATCACTGCTTCCTCTGACCACTGCTTGTGTAAAACCTGCTGGCCAGGGCACATCCACTGACTGAAATAACACAAAACCAGCCAAAACAACATCATCTTTATAAAGTGGATGATTTCTACAGGTCATGTTAAAACCTGGCTGTTCATGTCAGTCAAATATCCTACAGACTGTAAACGAGGAAGATCCCAATGCTGTGGCAGTTCTGGATAATGCCTTCAAAGACACTTCTAAAGAAACCCCTTCTAGAATTCATGCTTAAATGATTTGGGAAATCACTAAAAATCAGGTTGTCTTCTCTTTTAAACATTATCAAGCCAGAAAGAATGAAACTGTGCCAACACCTGAATTGCTGCAGTTCACAACCAAGCACACTAACAAAACCAAACATTCATCTTTTCCCAGCTTGGTTCCAGGCTCCATAGTGACAGCCAGTACTGGATGTGAGCTAGCTAAAGCATTATTTTTCACCAAGTCAGTGCTACAAAAATCTAGAATTCACTTCAGGTTTCAGTAAAGACAAATATCCTCAAAAATGGCTTCACAGTAGACTGTGGATTTTGCAAACCATGTTCTGAAAGGCAAAAAGTTTCTTCAACAGTACTAAGTGAATAGCTGGACCTTAAATTATTTTCAAACATCTTTTTTTTCATTTAATTACTGTTCTGTATTTCAGCAGGAGTATGATATTCTACAAAGCTGTGCTTTTGTTACAGCTCCATTGTAATGGTCTTGCAAACTGAACTATTGTAGGCCTGCAGTTTGACTTGCTTGATTTTTATGCTATAGATATTGAAAACCATAAAAGTAAATTTGAGCAGTCTGTAAAGCCCTTTATTGGAAACTATCACTGCACACAGGACATCAGACCAAGGAGCAAAGGCGTTAATTTAATTAAACTATGAAAGTAAGATCACTTGCTACTGCCTCACATCCCTGCAGAAGAGTCATAGTCTACAAATCAAATAATGGGGGGAAAAGAATTCATTTCATTCTAATACTGGATGTTATAAAATATACATGAAGAGTGAATCCAGAAGGTTGTTAAAAACTCTCACTCCCTACCACACCTGCAGCTTTTACAACATTTCCTTGCATATCCTTGGTTTCTCAGATCCCACCACAGGCATTTGTGCCCTCAGCTCCACCATGATATGTGCTCTATTACCACACCAAGACACTGGGATTGTTTTTCACCTAACACCTAAAGTTTTGTGACAAACCCATCTGATTCCAGTGGTTTCTTGGCTTTATGTACAAAAAAATCCACAAGTGTATTTCCTTGCAGTAGAACAGACAGCTGATTTTCCCTATTTTAAGATTCACTGTTGGTTCATTAAGAGTCACGTACAGTGAATGTAATTGGAAAGGTAGTGGAGAAAGTCTTATAGCATTCCACTCAAAAAATGAAAAAGCAAACAATTTAAGAAATTATCACTTATTAGAGACAGCCCTAAGAACATTATGTTAAGGTAGCACACCAGAAGAAATGCAATTCCAAGAACTGAATTAGACTGGCTATAACTAGAACTCATTCTGCTCCACATTAGGATACAGAAATTTAAATATTTCTCTCTGCATAGGATGGGCTGCAGCAGCTTCTCCTCCATACCATGCAAGTCACTACTCTATATTGCATTTAGAGATTCACATTCAGCTTTCAAAGGCACAGTGACAGGGTCTGCGCATCTAAACTAACATCATACACCCTTGAAGAGGATGTAATGCTGAAATTTTGGTCCCTGTTTCTTCACTAAACCTTTAACAACTTTAGCCAAAGCTACTGAATTATCTTCACTGGGAGGGTGCTCCCAGCTGCTCAGGAAGTGTGTCCAGATGCACCAGGGGTCTCTGCAGGGCTGTCCAACACAGCCACGGCAGACAGAGATAAGGAATTCTCTTGTACTACCGACATCCCCTGCAGAGCAGCACTGCTCTGCCCAGCTGGGTTGCTTGACCTGTGCCTTATACCATGGAGAGCTGCTGCCAAGATGCTGTTCTGAAAACTGTACCTCCCCACCTGGAAAAGAGAGGCCACCAGTCAGAACCCTCTGCAGCAATTAAGAGCATTCCTCTTACCGGGGTGTTTTCTGTAAAATTAATTCTATTAAGATAGTACAAGTCAAATGGTTTCTTTTTGCTATGCTGCAGTAGTGATTTTTTTTTTTCAAAGAGGAAGTGGTTAAAAGAAAGCCAAATAATTTGACAGTAATATAACATCACTCTTAAATTCACCCATGAGACAATCTTATTAATATTTAATAATTTTCTTTTTTCCTTAGTAGAGAACTAAATCATTTGACCTGTTACTCTGTCCTCTTCTAGAAGCACCAGACTTGCTTCACAGTAAGAAACTTTTCTAAAGAAAACTTGACTTTCTTTTCTTCCACCTCTCCTGCCAAGTCTTTTCTTTTCTATAACACAAACTTCTCCTTGGTCCTCTCTGTTTTTTCCAAAGTGCTATATTTAACACGCTACATGTTAGTTTGAACAGAAGCTCCTGAAATTCAATACTTCACTGCGTAAAAAACACCGGTGAGTATACACAGCATTGGCACAAATATGGCCGTGAAACACAGTTCTGCATTTGCCCTGTAACACTGCTCCTCTCAGTCTTTGCCACACTTATACAGATCTGGTTTTGTGTATGACAGGATATAATATAATCAAAAGAACTGAAGTTAATTTGGGAAGGGTAAAGGAATAGAGAAAAATGTATTAATTTCTTTTTTAACAGCACCCATTTTTACCAGCATAACGTTATTTCTGAATCAAAGATTGTAGCAAGTTACAATTTGTTACAGCACCACACAACCTCCAACATTTTACTATCTTTTCTCAACATAATTAAGCTACATCAGTGATAGTAGTTGCAAAAAAAGTCACTGTGAGCCATATTAATGAAGAGTCAAAAACTAACTGAATTGCTTTCAGAAATATGAAAACTGACCAAAAATTATTTGTAAAAAATGTTAATCCAGTGTACTATATAATATCAATTAAAACTATTCATTTTCTCTGTCAAATCAAGAATTTACAGAGAAAATGAAACCCAAAGTCCTTTCCCCAGAGGAGAACAGCATAAGTTGTGATACAGAGCTCGGCATCCCCCCTTACTCAATGAGGGAGCACGCTCTCATTTGCGGTTTTCTTCCACATTGCAAGGAAGTTTGCTTATTCCGTATTTTCCTCCTATTGTTTGTATTCCCAGCTCCAACAGACGCTGTTTACACCGGGTTCACCTCTGCCGCCGAGCCCTTTACAGCTGGAAGCCCGGGCAGGCCTGTAACTCCCAGGAAGATGCAGGCAGGGAAGTTTTGTTGTTGTTGTTGTGCCGGACTGACCCTCTCCCGATAAGAGCGGCGGGTGAGAACCGCCCCGACACGAAGTTCAGGCACCACTGAGCAGGGCCGGGCGCTCGGCCGGTGCCTTCCCGCTGCGGGGCCGGGCCCGGGCC